TTTGGCGGGGTTATGCAAAATTTATCGGAGTTAGACTGTGTATTTGGGCAGTATGGACGCTAACACAAATAAAAGTTCACCGGTTCCTACGGAGTTATACCAAGAGTTACAGTGGCTGCTAACGGAGTTGAAATCGGAGTTGCCCATCTCTGGTGGGACATGAAAATACCCGCTAATATGAGCGCCAATGGTGGCCCTATTGCTACTGCATCCACTTGTAAATAATTTTGAAACGGAATGGCATCAAACATAATTCTAATAGTTTCTATATCTTCTTTGAATCGAACGATGTACTGATTGTGTTTGTTGGTCTGTGTAATATATATTCGTTCAATTTCTCTTTCAAGACGACAACATTGTTTATATCGACATTTAAATTCTTGTTGAACACAATTACCTTGAAAATTCACCTGCTGTTGCTCTGAACACTGTTTTTCACGTAAGATTTGAAAGTCTTATATTTTTCAGATGGAAAACTTAGCTGATCCAAGGCTATCTCATTTTATAGAGCAGAACAAAATATTTAATGATGTAAGATAATCGTAAATCAAAAGAGCAGAACAAAATAGAAAATTCAAAGTTTTTCTTTTGCTACCATTGCTAATTCTATTATTCGATTACTAATATGCACGAGATAAAATAGGTAAATCACTAATTGGTTGTCTTAGAGAGAAAGAAAACTACGATTTCACCACAAGATAATAAATATTATGAGTCAAATGTGGCGGTACCCACCGTAATTTATGGTTTCAAGTAGTCATTAGCTATCACAAAACACTGTGTCGTCCTTGTTCTAATTAATATAAAAACTTGAGTTACCAGCATTATTATTTCATTTATTTCAAAAGATCTCTTTTACACAGAACAAAAGTAAGCCTAATTCGAAAAAAAATCGTCGAATAATCCTTCAATATTATTCAACGCCTTCAAAAGACATTGAAGTGTCATCCTGTACAGAAGCTTTCCTTTGATAACTAAATGTATAAATTCCTGTTACTGAAGCGAAACAATATTTTTTTATCAATTTTTACCCGTTTGCCTCTTCTTTTCTCTCGCGCACTTTGCTTTCTTCTTGAGTGCCTAATACTAGGTCAGCGTCATCCAGTATATTTTCTATACAGAAAAATAATGCAGAAGGAGGAAACAAAGGTATGAAAATCTCACCATCGCATAGTACATTAGACTCAGCTATCATATTTGTAGCAGGAACGAACGTTCCATCTGCTTGCACCTCACCAGCTTCAACGATCAAGTGAAAGTAATTCATTTCATGCATTTGAACTTTCGTTTTTGGCTCTCCATCTATGGCTGGTTCAGCTGAAATAAGCACGAGTGCAAGGACCCTTAATTTCAGTTATTCTCATTATATCCACACCTGAGGTGAGTTTACTGTTCAAGCGTGTTGGATATGGTACCAGAGGCTTCGCTAAATCGGCTTTGGACGGTCTCATTATATAGATCCTTCCTCTAAAATATAAAGCATTTCCTATCGAACAAGCGGAATTTTTCTCTCCTCACCTGTTTATTTTTTCCGCCAAGTCTCTTTCATACAGATCGCAATAGCGTGGGTTTTGTGCTGTATAAATATTATCATCATCCATCAGTACCAATTTATAGAAACTGTAATATTGACCCATTTCGTTCCTTGATGATTTGCTAACGAGTGTGAATCGAAGTTGTTTGTTACCAGGTCCAAAGCGAAACAGAAAAGGAAGCTAAGAATACCCATATAATAACATGTTTGACAACTCTCACCAGGAAAATCATCGAAAATTAGCGTACTTCTATGATTTTTTGGTGCTGTAGTGCCTTAATTTCTCTCAACAAGCGCTGCTCAGCAACCAGTGAGGGAATTTGTGAGAACCGACATGAAAAATACTGACGTGAAATAAATGAAACATGTCCAGATAAACTAACTATTCATTGGCATTTAAACCTAGCTATCTCACCTGTATCGCAACTGGCAATTGACAAAGTTTAACATCTACATTTTCAACTTTAATATCATCATCCAGTACAAAAGTCAACGGCTGTTTCAGAGGCTCGATTATCTTCATTCCAATCATGTCCTCCAAACTTCCTAGATAACCATGAAAGGAAAAGATCACATGCTTTTAAAGCCACATATAAATTAAAACTACATTTTAAGTTATGTATAAAACTCGCATTGTGTTAGAATATAAAATAATGGATGTAGAAGGAACGGTTTCTAATTAACCAATGGTAGTTTGGAGCAGACGAAATAAGACTGGTTTTTTAGCGTCAAATTTTGAGCACGGTTACTTATTCAGATATTCAAAAAATTTAAAGAAATATGGCAGAAAGTTTCATCTGTGCAGCCACAATGTGGTTAAAAACGTTTTTCACTTTTTTTCTTTGACAACGGAGTTGGGTTATGTGCATCTTGCAAAAATCTATCGATCGATATAAAAGAAATCAAAATCAAAAAAACTTTCGGCAGACTCTTTCGTTATGGCAATAGAGTGACTTTAGTTGTCTCTAGTCGGTGGTACAGCATCCGATTGTAGGTGAAAAACCCGTGTACTGTGCTATAAAAACATGAGGCCAAAAACTGGATTAAACTAGGCAGATCATTTTTGAATTTGGAGTACTGTCAATAAAAAAAGTGGAGTAAGTAGTCCCACATAGAAGGCGTTTGAGGAAGAAAAAGACAGTTTAAGCTTTTCCATATTTTCTAAAGGTCTTTTATTGGTCACCTCATATTTAAAACTGAACATCACCAGGAACTCTCGAAGGCCTTTTTTGCTGTGGACTTTCGTTTGAGAAATCAGGATCGTACGGGAGAATTCTCTAATGCACTGTAAAACAAAAAGTATATAAATAACACACTGAAAGTGAACATCAGATCCAACCCTAATGACTCTCTGGAATTCACGGCGTGAGTGTTTAAGATACACATTGAGAAGTGACTGTCCTGAGTGAACGCTTAGAAGATTTACACACCTACTGTAGTAACATACTATTTCTTTGCAGTGTGCAATCTGTTTTTTTGCAAAACTGAGTATTTTCTTCAGATAGAAAATCCCGTCAGCTAGCACCTTACCTTCTCTGATTGGAGTCGTGCGAATGCTGCTGAGACCTTATTCTTACCTTCCAACTCTTTTACACGTTTGTTCATCCCATCATACAGTTCCTGCAAATGTTGAACATCTTCCTGATGGTAACCTTGACTATTCTTCAAAACTTCATGTTTGTCTCCATCTCGCAATGAATCAGATCGATACTTGCACTGTTTTTCATGCTGTCGTAATTCTTCGCTTAAAAAGCTACTTTCACGGCAACCTTTATTATAGTTCTCACAATTGATTTTCAATTTTGATAAGGCTAACAACACTTGATTTCGTTCTTTGAATAGACAATGACAGCTAGGACAGTGTGAATTAGTTATATTGGATGCTTTGATACATTGAGGACAAAACATTTGTTCACAGTGTTTGCACTGAGTCGGTTCTTCGCTGCGAGAATTACAAACGTAACAGACTAATTTAGCATTATTCTCTTCCACACTAGACAGACGAGCGATCGAGATTTGTGCCATTATCGATTTATCTATAAATTTTCGAGCAAAGGTAACGATAAAGAGATTTCATACGAGTCGATCTTGTCAAGGTTGTAAACAATATGTATACCTAACTGCATTTTTATTCAAAAAAACTAATAATAAACTAGAGAGCAATTGCGCTGCGCACAAGTTGCGATATCGAGAGACTGTATCCGATCTGAATCTGCCAGAAGCAGTCCGTAGTCACTAGGAAATTCATCACATCACGTTCGTCGTGATTTTAGTTGCTTTGACAGATAGATTTAAGAAAAATAAAATGAAAACGAAATTTGAAGAAGAGACAGATTTATTTTTTCGCTGAAGAACAAATGCGCCGGACAACTGAACATACGAAAAATTTCAAAGACCAAAATACATTTATCTTTCACTTGTGGTGCTTATGATATCGAATATGGACCTTTGTTTGAGAAAAAAATGTGCATTGATCAATCTCCAAGTCGCGAGAATATCCTACCTTTTCCAGAACTTTTCTGACTTTCATAGTTCTCTAGAGGAGCCCATTTGGGCTAAAAAGGGGATGAAAGGAAGAAGAAAATAAAAATAAAAATTTCCAGTAAAAGCACATAATGTCTGTTGACATAATAATACTAAAACTCAAAAATACTGGAATACTGTTTCATTCGTTAGAAAGATGCCAAGTTAATCAGCAAATTCTCCATAATGCCTATTCTTTCTTTCTACTTACAAAGACTTTGAATTACGATCTCTTCAACGGAGCATTCTTATGTTTTCTTGCAGATTTTACTTTTTTTTGCGCTCCTAATAAAAAATAAGAACAATATAAGATTGCATTTACCTTACATGAAAAAGAAATTTTTTTATTTAAGGACATACTCCATAGAGAGTTTTTAGTCTTCCTGTCAACTTCTTCTCCTTAACAAATAAACTTTGTATAGAAAAATAAAGGCTGTCGGCAGTCCACAATTTATTGTCTTCGAACTAACACAAACGTTGTAGACTGCTTTTATTTTTCTATGCAAAATTGCCAGGTGTACTGGAAACTGTTAACGGAGTATTCCTTTAAATAAAAAAATTTCTTTTTCATGCAGGGTAAATACAATCTTATTTGTTCTTAGTTTTTATTAGACGCGAAAAAAAAAAGTAAAACCTGCAAGAAAACATAAGAATGCTCCGTTGAACAGATGATAATTCAAAGTCTTTGTAAGTAGAAAGAAAGAATAGGCATTACAGGAGTTAAAATTCAAATGAAATTATTTATTTTTACGAATGAAATTAAAGCATGGAAAACGCGTCTCGATGTACTGAAATGGTGCAAATTTGGCGTACTTAGACTTGTCAGGACTAGACGGGTCTTAACGCGGTATATCCTATAAAAACGCGTCTACATCATGCGCCTTTAAACACGTTAAGATAAAACGCGTCCAGTCGCATCAAAAGGATGCATATTTGAGCGATTTAGACGCAGAATAAAACGCGTTTTAAGACGCGTCTATAACTCGAAAAAATTTACATGAGCACATCTAATATTATGCATCATAGTTGTTATTTTTCATTAGCAGTGACCGCCGTTGAAACGATCGCCTTAAACAAAGAGTTTCTCGTTTTTACACATTTAATTTTGGCTCTTGACCACACAAGAAATAATGATGAATTAACCAAAATGAGTAAAAATACTTAATTGTGTTTTTCTTTGATGATCAGTCTCAAAAAATAATAAATACATACCTACTTTCTATAAAGTGTCCATTACAGTATGATACAGTAGAAATGAATGACGTCAGGCAAAGAAAAGGAATTATACCTCAGTCTAAATCGAAGCTTGAGAGAATGCAAGGTGATTTCGCGAATGTTACGGTATAATAAAAAATGTTTACAGTTCTATACTACGTAGATAAAGTTAGCACCAGATTCGAATATTCCGCCCCAGATTGATTTGTAAACTTGGTCCAAACTGGAGAAGAGTTGGTCCAAATAGAGCTCGACAAGCTCTACAAACGCGAAACCCACAATGGCTTTTCAGAAAAACTGAAAATACTTGTTTTT